CCTGTGGCTTAGCCAACCCAGCCTGGTTGAGTCAACTTGGTGAGCTGAGTCAACTTGGTGAGCCAAGTCAACTCGACCGTGTCAACCCAACATGGACTCGGATGTATCCGTTCTGTCTTCCTTACCCAGAACTCATTTTCCCTAACCCGATTGTAGACCTGGTCTTTTGCAACAGCCCGAAAGCATAAAAACTAAAAAATTGTAGAAATCCATGACATACATTGATCAAACTGAAGCAAAAATTGTTTAACAAGCTTCGACGACTCGATCCAAGGGCATTAATAGGAAAATAATTGGCCAAAATAGCATCCAAACCACCAAATACCCCCTTAGTTGTCCATGAGCTCAGTTGACCAAAAGCAGAGCAATTTGTCCTCAAATCTCACTCGAATCAAAAAATTGGTTGAGGGAAACAAATTATCAACATCTACCACACCTAAAGAAGCCATCAAAAGTTGGAAAAATGGCTTGAATGATCACAGTATGTCATGAACAGTTTTGGTCCACTGTTGGACTAAAACTCCCTATTCATTCATGACCCAATCCTTCTTACCTCTGTTCTTTTCAATTTCATCCATTCGTCTTTCAATTCAGTCCTTTCCTCTTATAGTTCATTGAATTTAACCCTCTGACAGTTTCAATTCAACGCTAAATTTTTCAAATTAGCCTCTGGACTTATAATTTCTACAATTTAATCCTTCCAGAATTACGATTTGAACCCCATTTCTTTTAATTTGGGCAATAAAGCCCCTAATCTTAATTAAGCATTAAAAATGAAAAATTTTATAAAAACTGGGTCATTACATGGATCCTAAATCTTTACACATTCCGTTGCACATTAATCTTATTCCATTAAAAAGTCAAAAATTGTAATACCTGCAAAATTTTTGGATTAATTAAAATAAATTGAAATATTCAAGGGGGTAAATAAAACAAATAGGACATTGGGGATTCAATTGAAAATTTAGGGGATAAAATTGAATGAAATAGAACTTAAAGCGGTCTGAACAGCATATACCAAAAATTGGCCAAGGACTAGTTTGTAGGTGAATATTAGTACAAGGATTAAAGTGTAAATTATGGAAAGTGGATTTGAACGTTTGCGATGTTTTGGATCCTTCGTGTTTATTGTATTAAATTTGAGCAATTAGTAACCAATGAAATCGAAATTTCTTCATAATGGGTTTCAACCTAGTACATAGAACAGAAACCCTCAGGAATTTTTAAAAAATTTCTTCCTAAATCGATCAATTTCTCCTCCTTTCATCATACCCATCCGTTCACCTTAGCCAAGATTCCAAGCTTAATTCTGGCAAATTAAGTTGTTCACAAGCCAAATTGGTGAGTTATCGAAGGTCATAGAGTCTAGTCGATCATCAACACAGAGTTGATTTCAAAGATTTCTAGAAAATTTGCAGGTAAAATATGAATTTTTTCATTTTGGTAATTTGTAGATTTTCAGGTTAAGAGGAAACAACTCGATTGGGTTTGAGTTGAGGCGAGTCAGATCGGCTTGGGTTGGAAGTAGGGGTTGGGCTTGGTTTTGTGTTGGGTCATGGGCCAAATTGCGCTAGGCCTTGGTTGCGAGGCCATGGCTAGTGGGCCAAGTGAATTGGGTTGAAAAAGAATAAATAAATAAAATAATATTAAAAATATAAGACTTTGGTACATGGCCAATGGGGCAGGCCTGTAGCGGGTTTAAGCCCTTCTAGATACTCGGTTCTGGGTTAGGCAAGATCCAGATTAGGCATTCGAATCCATTATTAAATTAATTAATTAAATAAATAAGAAAATAGCAGAAAATGAAAACCAATTGGTTCAGGATTTTTACACCGGTTCACGGCCAGTTCAACACAAAATAGGATTGGTAATCAAATTAACTAACTGGTTCATGGCCGGTTCAAGGAAAAATCAACCTGTTCGGTGATGAAATTAAAGAATTACAGTTTTAAATGGCCGGTTTAGCACTATCATGGCCGGTCCAAGGTGTTTTCTGGTTGGTTTAGTGAGTTTAAGTCTGGTTTAGGGGGTTTTACGACTGGTTCAGTGTGTTTCGTGGCTGGTTCCATAGATTTAAGGCTAGTTCAGTAGATTTTAAGGCTGGTCCCATAGATTTTAATGTCAGTTCAATAGGTTTAAGGCCAGTTCTATGGATTTTATGACGGTTTAGTGGCTTTCATGGTTGATTTAGTGGAATTAAGGTAGGTTCAATGGGTTTCGTGGCCGGTTTAGTGAGTTTAAGGTCCAATTCAATGCTGTTATGATCAGTTTTGGTCGCTTTAATCTTCTAATGACCGGTTCAAGATTGGTTTAGTACTTTAATGGGGGTTTAAAGGATAATTAAACTGATTTATTGTTTTATGAGCCGGTTCAAGACTTTAGTAAGTTGAAGGTGGTTTATTTGATTGGTTTAGGATTTTAAAAATTCCCGATATGGGTTGAACACAAAAACCTAAGGTTGTAGTAGGGTATTGGAGGGGAATTTAGTTTTAAATTAATTATGAGTTATATTAGTTCCTAAAATAAGGATTTTGTTATTTTTAGATCGATTATTTCTCGGTGAACCGTATTAACAACACTCGGAGTTTGTTTTCCGCCGCTAGACTTGGTGGGCTTGGAAGATGGCGGAGGGGCTTTGTCCTTCTTATGGGCCTGAAAATGCCATAAACTCAAGATCAAATACAAATGGTTGAGGAGAAAGAAGGTGGATCGAAGAGAGTGAATTGATAAAATCCAATTGCGGCGAAGGGGCTCACCGTTGTATCAGGTTGTAGGCAGCAAAGAGAGCCACTGAGATGAGCGAGAAGTAGACGCTTCCAAGTTTGACCCTAGGAGGTGAAGTACAATTTAACTGGTTTCGCTTGCTTACCAGTGGTGCTGTTTTAATTTGTCTCAGGTTTTCCTTCTTTACCAAGGGCTTTTATTGGGCCAAGAGCTTGGTTTGGGTTATTGGGCCGTCTGTTTTGAAGAATTGAGAAAAGAGGGCTTGTGGTGTTTTTATATTAACATTAATATATATTTTCTTATTTTTTGAAAATTAATTTTTTAAAAATATTTTTCATAATGTGATATGTTTGGATCACTTTAATAAATATTTTTAAAAATTATATTTAAGTAAATAAAAAATATTAATATTACTGTAAAAGTTAGAATATGTCAGGTTTAGAGAAAAAATTATTATTGTTTATTTACCTATACCGTGCTTTTTATTTTTTTAAATTCTAATAATTTACCTCCTATATTTCTGGAGATATTTGAAAATTTAATAATTTTTAAAATTGAAATATCTTAATTTAAGGTTTTTTTGAAATATATTGTGAATTTTCTTTGACACCAAAAAACTTTGAGTATTTTTTCTTCCACACAAACATTTTCAAATAATAAACATAGCAGTTAATTAGAGGGCAAATTGATGGGTTTAGTCTATTAAGTTGATGGGATTATGGAATCTTAGCGATATTCTTTATCTAGTGAACACAATATTTACTTTAAAACCGTCTGTAAAAAGTAACTGATATTTCAAAAAGCAAATTACAATTAAATATGTCCATTGGCAAAAGAAAAATTTGCTAAGGTGATGCATAAATTCTATTCAATTAATAACCAACAGTCGAACAAAAAAAGAATTAATCGATGGATCGTCAATAAAATCTAAGTCACGAGTTGAAAAGTAGCTACAAGCTGCTTCACTACAAAAAAAGACAATAATGGCGGTTGAATTACGGCAATTAAGAGTAATGGCCGTAATTTTAGTATATTACGGCAGTTTAAACGGTGGTTTGGATAACCACCATGTTTTACCGCGTTAATTATGGCGTTTCCATGTTAATTACGGCGTTTCTAGCTTAAAATGGCGGATAGTACTTATTTTTCAAATATTTTGTAAAATTTAAGAAAATAACTCACTTGTTTTTCTTGGCACGTAGAAACCCTATACTCGCGATCACCTCCTTCACGTAATTCTCCTCTACAAAACTCTCTCCTCTCAACATTCTTCCTCTTGCTGTGCTCTCTCCGTTTTTTTCATCCTTATCCTTCCTTTCTTCCTTTCAATTTCCTCTCATAACAGCAATGAATCTGCAATTTCTAAGGTTTCTGTTGTTCGATCATGGCTGACTTCGATTGCTCCAGATCTACATTCAAAGATTAGTCTATTTTGGCTTCTTGAGAAGGGTCTTCTTATCTCAAGCGAAATTAGGTATAAAACATGTTTTTTTTTTTTTTTTTTCGAATTTCTACAGTTCGTGCGACTTTGGCTTTTATTTGATCTCAGCTTACACATGTTTGTTGTTGGAAATTATTGTTTCCGATCTGTGAAAATTTTGCCACTAGTCTTCAGCACGTATCACAGAGTGTGTTTGATATATTGTTGAGAATCTGTTTTAGACCAGTTAATAGTTTGAGGTACAGAAAAAGAAAAATTGTAAGAATGGCCCCAAATTTGAAGCTGTGGTTCTCGCCGAAGAATTTCCTGGTTAGGCTTCGTGACGCGTACGTGAAGTTGATGCTGTGGATGGCCAACTCGCTGGCGATCAGCTGTGGCTTCAGTGGGCCGGTTGACGAATCCATCGTAAGGCTTGGAAAGGGCCCGTCGAAGGAGTATGATGAGAAGATGATCGTTGATTACTACAACTCTCTGAGGCGCAGGGACATTTGGTGCTCCGCGATGCAGCCATGATTCGCTATATGCCAAGAAAGTTACAGTTGCTGTAAGTAGAAGTTAAGTAAAAAAAATAAGGGAAAGGATTTTGATTTTTGGGCTTTATTTAACGTTATAGGTATACTTCCAATAAGCTATTCTCTGTTTGGTAAACTGTGAACTTGTGAACTTCTTTGTTATATATTTATAGGATTGGTGAGAGAAGTTTTACGTTTAACCATCCTTTTGTAAAAATTCCATAAGCTCAATCTATTTGATTTATAAATTAATGTAAATTATTAATTAAATTGTAAATAAAAGAAAAAGTGAAATTTATTAAGAAGATGATGACTTGTGAGAGATGGGTGAATAGTGTGAATATATGGAAGGTTGGATAACAGATATAACATTTGATAAAATTTTTATGAATGAGATCAATATTTTCAGGGTTCAGAAACAGGATGCTCACCTATTCCTCTAGTGTATACTGTGAAACAATTGGCTATGGCTGATAAGTAAGTTTTTCCATTTTGTTGGCATTTTTGCTGCTCTCTCTCTTTTTTTTTTAAGCGATGTGTATAGATTTATCATTTATGTGTAACATTTGAAGTACATTTTTCCTAAAACATGTTGTGAAAGGATGCTTAGACAAATGAGATATGTATCCTCTCATAATGTCACTATGTAATGGAATTTGATAGAACCAGTCCATTGGAACGTTGGAGGGGCCATCCAAACATACAAATCTCATCAATTGCCACCCTCCCTAATCATCTCTCACCAAACCACTGCATACAAACGTGCTATCATTTGTTAGGATATTCAAATGAGAAAAATAGATTACTAGAGATTGATGATAATGAAGATCACCTCTCTTCCAATTGTTTTATTATATTTTTTTTTCAAAACATTTCCTTGAAAATAGAGTTCAATTCAAGTACAAAAATAAAAAAGTGACAATACTAAAAGAAATTGCATGTTTTAGGAAATAGCCAAATACTTCGGATCAATCTCATAAACACATGTCAATAGGTGACTAGAAGAATTATTGCTTGACTTTGTTGAGTGGAAGAAAATTTTCAGCAGGTGATTATATCTAGATATAATTTGTGGGGAATGAAATCACACTATTTCAAACTATATATTGCTTCATATTATCTTACTCTGTTGAATTGTGTGGTTCCTATTTTCGATCAATCATTTATGTCAATTGAAAATTTGACCTTGTTTCTTGAAAAAATTATTGCATCCTATTGTGTCATTGCGGCTGAGTCTACTGGAAGAGAAATTCCTATTGCTTTTCTAGAGAGAGTTAAGGAGGATTTTAACACCAAATATGGTGGAGGGAAGGCTAAAACTGCTGGGGCTAAGAGCTTGAACAAAGAGTTTGAGTATTTTTCTTCCTATTTATTTGAAGTCAAATAATTTTTGCTTCTTGTCTTCGTAGTATTTAGCCGATTTTTATTGTCACTTTTCTAGTGAGAAACTAAAGGAGCACATGCAGTACTATGTTGACCATCCGGAGGAAGTAAGCAAGCTTGCAAAAGTGAAGGCTCAGGTTGCTGAAGTTAAGGGAGTGACGATGGGAAGGGAGTTATTGTCACTTTTCTATCACTTGCTTTATTATTTGCAAGGCTATGAAAATGTTCATGATGCAGAGACAATTGATAATTGGATAACTTCATATAAGTGCTTGCTATTTTTGGTCTTCTATTATTTTTAATTTTAATATTAGACTCCTCCTGATGAGTTGCTTTGGGCAATTAGCTTCTAAAATTCTGTGCCCCAAGTATTTTTGGAAATAAGTAATCTAGTTAGTCTTTTCTTACCCGTGTTTGATGCTTTTTCTATACTTTGATAGGTGGCCACAAAGTTCCCAGCAAATGCCCTTGTGCATCGCCCCACATTGCTTCAGTACATAGTCTCATCCAAGGTCTAGAAAATATTCCTTCTCTTAGTTCTATTAAATTTAGATATACAATATAAAATTGATTGTATTCCTATTCTTTTTCATTTTATTTTGCATTGTTTCTGAAATGAATTTTTAATATTAGTGCATTGTTTCTATTGCAATTGACATGTCTCCTTGGAACTTCTTCTATGGAAACAAATGGTGCTGTAATCAATTTAGATTCCAGGCATGATAACGTTGGCTGCAACTTTTTTGGTCCAACTTTTTTGTTAGTTTTCAAATTTACTTTGTAGCTTTCTCTCTATCTATGTTTATTTTTCTATTAGTGATTACTCTTAGACATGATCTCAGAAATTTGCTCAATTTTTCCTTTTAATTTATGGTCAATCTTCCCTTAGTTAATCCTTTCTCTAGGTATATATAATCGAGCTAGGGAAATAAAATTGTTTGCTCCTTAGTATTTTCTAACTTTTAAGCACTATTTATCTAGATTTCACAAAGATTGTTCTCCAGGACTTTGTGGTGGATTATTGACTCTCTTGTTATCTTTGCAGGTAGGCTGCATTTATACAGACTAAGCCTAGAATAAATATTTTGAATTTTGACTTAAGCATCATATAACACCTAAGAAATGAAAATTTTATTCTCTAAGGACGAGAATAAATTGTCTAGGATTGGAGTTCCAGTAGCATTGGAATTCTTGCAATTTTTATTCATAACCAAACCTGAAAAGTTAGTTGAGTGTGCTTCTTTCTTGTAGCAGTTTGTGAAATATGCAGGTGTGTTCATGGGATAGGATAAGTGGAGATCAGCTATGATGGAAATAATTGTATGAATTTTGTGGTCTTAGAAAGGGGTATAATATGGGATCCATACCACACTTTAGAAACTATTGAATTAAAACATGTTGTCTAGAAAGTGGAAACAACTTAGAAACTACTCTATGAGTTATTTCCCACAATTGTTGCATCTGAGTCCCATGATTCCATACCTTTTGTCGGAACCATTATCAGAGCAATGCAGGTAACCAGTTATAGATTCTGTATAATATGTGTATGTATATATATTTTTACATGTGCGTATGTTATGTTGGCTTATACTTTCTGTCTATTACCATTAATTTTCAGTTCACTTGATTTTGTAGAAACATTAATGGAGGTAATTTTACTAAACTATATAGGTAGAGTATCTTCCTGTTGTTACACCTCTTGAAGATCGAATGGAAAATGCTCTTCCTTTTGCTCAAAGGGTGAGTCTATATTACATCATTTATTACTAGTGATTTTTCTTTTAGTTGATATTTTAGGACTAATTGTCTAGAACCATGGGTACTTATTTTATGAGCCGCATTTATGTAATTAGAATAATTTCTTTCTATTTGTAATTAGAATAATTTCTCCATTTCAGGGCTACAATGGAGAAAAAGAAAAGCCAGGAAAATGTGAACAAGTTAACGGATGTTCATTCTTTGTATCCAAATTAGTTATTCGTTTCTTTGTACTTGGATTCCGTTATTATACGTGTATCCAAATTAGTTATTCCTTTCTTTGTACTTGAATTCAGTTATTCAATTATCTTATTTTTTATTTTTCTTTTGGGGAAAACAATCAATATGAGATAGGGAAGTTAAATAGGAACAAAAAAATGTTAATACTGTTTGTCTTGTGTAGAGGATCTTCTAAATTTTGGCAGAGCTTCTAATCGGTAAGTTAGAAAACTATTTATAAATAGCTTGTAAAAGTTGGGTAAGTAAATTGTATATTCATTTTACTGTTGTAGATATGTCATTTTTTATATATAAAATTCTTTGTTCAGCATTGTACATTTGGTAATGTCTCTTTGTTAAGCACAACACTTTCTCTTTGTTTATTTTTATTTTTTTCATGGCAAGAAACTGTTAATAATAAAATAGATAAAATAACAAAAAATAGAACTTTAATAAAAGAAAAAAGTGGTTTAGAAAATAGCAAAATATTATGGTTCAAAAAACAGTAATTTGGAAGAATAGCAAAAAATCAGCATAATTTATAGTTTAAAATTGTCATAATTTATTAAAAAAATTTGGCAGTAATTTATAAAAAAACACTGTAATTTACATTAAAATCGTTGTAATTTACAATAAAAAAATTAATTATAAAAAAGAAAGATGAATCGCCGTAAATTACAATGAACTACTGTAATTTAAAATGAAAATCGCGGTAATTTACAAACAAAAATTAATGGTAAAAAATGGCGGTTGAATAGCCGTAAATTATAATGAACCGCCGTAATTTGCAATGAAAATTGCCGTAATTTACAAAAAAAATTAATTGTAAAAAAAGGCGGTTGAACCGCCATAATTTATAATGAAAACCACCGTAATTCACAATAAAAAATTAATTATAAAAAGGGTGGTTGAACTGCCGTAATTTACATTGAACCGTCGTAATTTACAATGAACCGCTGTAATCTATAATGAAAAATTAATTGTAAAGAATGGCGATTGAACCGCCGTAATTTATAATGAAAACCGCTGTAAATTACGGCGGTTGAACCGTTGCAATTTAACCGCCGCCGTAATTTAACTGCTGTAATTAACGGCGGTTGAACCACTGTAATTTAACCGCCGTAGTTAATGGTGGTTCAACCGCCATAATTTGCCGTTGAAAAAAACGGCGGTTAATGCAGTGGTTAGTCTTTAATTGCTGTATTATACCGAATGATGGCGGGAATTTCGACGGTTTTTGAAACCGCCATATGCATAAAAAACAGTGGTTAAAAATCGCCGTTTTTTGCCAAAATAACCGCCGTAATTTTCGTGTTTTTTTTGTAGTGCTTGCAGTACAAGTGGCTTCTTAGTTGGACGTGTACTGGTTGGTTAGGTGTGAACACAAAGAATGTACGAGTCTACAAGTCCCTTCCATATTTTCCCCCTCCCTTTTGTGTGCATGGCCTTTAGCACACTGGGGAAAGAGAACGAATGAAAGCATTAAAAAACCAAAAAATAAAAACAAAAAAAAAATCATAATAATGCTTGCTTCTGGAATAGTTTTAGATTCATACTGCAACAGATGGTTGAAAGCAAGAAAAAAAAATATAATATCTCGTCTCAATTCAATTTTTGAGAGTAATATAATATAGTATATAAAAAATTAAAAAGTACTATTGAATAAATTAGGCTGACTAGGTATTTAGGCTCAGCAAATTAATAAGTTTAATAACTTTCAGGTCATTACAAATTATATCTGAGTAAAATAATTTTCGAATTTGATTTGTTTAAATACGAATATAGATTTATGACTTAATGAGAATGTCAAGAATTTGAGTGAAAGAACATGTGATATTCCGTCCCACTTGGATTTCTTAGAGTAATATGATATGAAATATAAAATATTAGAGACTATTACTCAATAACTTGGGTTTAAGAATTTTGAACAAATGATTCATGGTCAACAAGTTGTTAGATTTAGTATTCTTTGATTATTACAATAAATATGTAAACCAATTGGTATAAATAATTTAAAGAGTGTTTATTTTTGTTTAAAATTGATTTATTTGCCATTTTGAATAATTGACTGTATATTTATACAATTGGTAAAAATATAAGTGGTAGTAAACATATTTCTTTAAGTGACAAATAGGTAGAAAAAACTAAGCTGACTTATCATCTTATATGTAATTATCTTAAATATATATATATTCTTTTTAAATAAATCATATTTTAATAAATGCTTTATTCAAAATAAAATTACTTATTTATCAAATTAGTGGTATAGTATTTTAAATATTTATTATTTTAAACAATTTTAAATAATTAAAGCCATACACCATGTTAATCTTATATTTAAAATTAAGATAATACAAGAACTTCAATATTGGAAAAAAAAAACAATTCAAAACACTTAAATTTTTTTTTAGACATGAAAATTTTAAATTTTCAATGATAAATCTCAATATCCAAAAAATGCAGGGTATTAAATAACCCTTAGTTTTAAATGTCCTGTTTATTTGGATGAGTTATGAAGTCACCGTGAACTTACATTTTACAATCCCTTAAACCCATAGAGAGAGAGAGAGAGAGAGAGAGAGTTTTGATTAAGATTGTCAATATGTTAGATTTTAATTTGAATCTGATTTGAGTTTGATTTAAAATTTAAGATTTGAATGTGATAAAAATATTCGATAGATTAGATCTATTTACAAATATCCATAATCCGAAATAAGGTTATTAGATATGAAATTAAACAATCTAATCTGTTAAGAATTCGAATATGAATTTAATAGTATTTTTAATTAAATTAATTATATATATAAGATATTAATAAATTTAAAGTTGTGGTGATTAAATTGAGAAAATCAAAAAATTCAAAAATCAAAGTGATTGATAAAATAGAGTTGAGGAATTTAAATGCAAAAAGGGGGTTATTTTTTGTCAGATCAAATTTCTTTTTATCGAATTTCAAATTATTTATCAGATTTCGAATTATTCGTTGGATTCAGATATGATTTAATAAATATAGATCTTATAAAATTTTAAATAGAATTCGAACATAGTATATTATTTAATTATATTCAAATTTAAATTTGCTTGATTTGATCAAATCCAACCTATTTGATAGCATACTTCTAACTAGCCAACCCAATTAATATTTAACTTCCCTCTTTTTAACGGTCAACTTTAACAGTTGTATCAATCCTTTCATTGTTCTCTTTTTGACAAGGAGTTAACGATGAGAGAAATTATGATGGTAAATTACTAGGCTGTGTGTGAAAAATCAAAGGGCTGTTTATTTATTTATTTTATTTATTAAAAATACAAAACTGTCATTTTGTTATTATTATTATTATTAATTATTATATACATAATTTAAAATAAAATTTTTTTATAAGAAAATAACACAATAAATTATGTGACTGAAACCACAAACAAAAGAAGGCCAAACAAATCCCACCTTAAAATCTGTATCGTGGATAACTTAATTCATTTATCATAAACACCAAACTCCAGATACGTAGGAGTCCAGCCTTTGTAATTGTTAAGGGCTACATGCCCAACGTAACTACTCCTACTTTGCTTATCCATCTCTATATATTAACACATTACTTATGTTTATATATTCTCTACTCAATTAAAAAAAAAAACATTGGCATCGGCAGGCTGCGAATATACAGTCTTTGTGGCAGTTGACAAAATCTGATGGGGACGGCGCATGTTCCGCGGCTGTCCCTCTGCTTCCGTTAAAAAACTGTCTCGCGTCCCTCCCCTGCCAAGACGTCGTCGTTTTCTGCCTCCGGATCCCGGGAGTATCCGGCGGCGATACTGACCGTACGAGCGCGAAGTTCAAGCCCTTGATCTTCACCTCCGCCGCACCTCGTCTTGCCCGATCCGACCAGCCGGGTCTTTCACCAGCAACCCGGATATCAGGTCCCGTGCGTGCATCTCGCAAGTGCTTGCAGGCGAGGCCGTCGGGAAGGTCAATGGTTTCTTGACGATGTTTCGAAGCGTAGCCTCGTTGGTCTCCCCGAAGGACGGAGTCGTTTCAGTAGATCATTTCGTAGATGAAGGACGTTGGTTTATCAAATAATTGGGTTTTCCAATAACTTTTTGTAATTTAAAACTATATAGATGGCATTCTGTTACTGATTTATTTGAAATAAAAATCTTATTCATTAAAAAATCAAAAAATTATTCACTAATTTATGAAAGAAGTTGCATGTGAAGTAAAAAATTCTTGTGTGGTTGAAGGCCAGCCACAGAGAACAAGATGCATCTTGCAAACTTTGACGAAAACCCTAACCAACGGTCGAGATTCGGAGGAATCTTGGCCAAAGGTAGACA